ATAATATAGTGATAAACATATGGGTATATATGTCTTTTTTATTATGAATTAGGGATTTTGCTTTCTTAAGGTAAATATTCCTAGAAGTAGAATTACTGAGTCTATGGCATTTCTGTTTTTTGTTTTTTTGAGGAAGCTCCATACTTCTTTCTGTATTGGCTGCACCAATTTATATTCCCATCAGCAGTGCAGGATGGTTCCCATTTCTCTGCATCCTCACTAACACTTGTTATTTCTTGTCTTTTGGATAGTGGCAATTCTGCCTGGTATGAGGTGATACCTCATTGTGGTTTTTATTTGCATTGCCCAAGGGATTAATGATGTGGAACATCTTTTCATGTGCTTGTTGGCCATCTGTATTTTTTTCTTTGGAGAAATGTCTATTCAGGTCCTCCACCAATTTGTTAATCGGGTTATTTGTTTTTTGGGTGTTGACGTGTATGAGCTCTTTATATATTTTGGATGTTAACCTCTTATCAGATAAATCATTTATGAATATATTCTCCCATACTGTAGATTGCCTTTTTGTTCTGCTGATCATGCCCTTTGCTGTACAGAAGCTTTTAAGTTTGATGTAGTCCCATCTGTTCATTTTTTATTTCCCTTGCCCGAGGATATGTGTCCAGAAAAAAATTCCTCATGCTTAAGTTCAGGAGATTTTTGCCTAAGTGCTCTTCTATGAGTTTCATAGTTTCATGTCTGACATTTAGGTCTTTAATCCATTTCAAGTTTACTTTTGTGTATGGAGTTAGACAATAATCCAGTTTCATTCTCTTACAGCTGCCTAGTTTTCCAACACCAATTATTGAAGAGGCCATCTTTTCCCCATTGTATATTCATGGCTCCTTTATTATATATTAATTGACCATAAATGTGTGGGTTTATATCTGGATTCTCTATTCTGTTCCATTGATCTATGGGTCTGTTCTTGTGCCAGCCAAATTTTTTGCTTACAGTGGCTTTGTAGTAAAGCTTGAAGTCAGGGAGTGTAACCCCTCCAGCTTTGTTCTTCTTTCTCAGGATTGCTTTGGCTATTCATGGTCTTTTGTGAGTCATGAATTTTGGGATTATTAGCTCTAGTTCATTGAAAATTGCCATTGGTGTTTTGATGGGGATTGCATTGAATCTGTAGATTGCTTTAGGCAGGATGGCCATTTTGACAGTAGTAATTCTTCCTATCCATGAGCATGGGATGTGTTTCCATTTATTAGTTTCTTTTTTAATTTCTCTCATGAGTGTCTTGTAATTTTAAGAGTATAAGTCTTTCACCTCCTTGGTTAGGTTTATTCCTAGGAATTTTATTCTTTTTGATGCAATTGTAAATAGAATTGTTTTCCTGATTTCTCTTTCTGCTAGTTCATTGTTAGTATATAGGAACACAAGAGATTTCCATGTATTAATTTTGCATCCTGCAACTTTGCTGAACCCAGTTATTCTAATAGTTTTTTGGTGGAGTTTAGGGTTTTCTATATATAGCATCACGTCATCCTCAAAGACAGTTTAACTTCTTCCTTATCAATTTGGATGCCTTTTATTTCTTTATTTGTATAATTGCTGTGACTAGGACCTCCAGTACTATGCTGAGGCAAAGCGTTGAGAATGAACATCCTTCTCTTTGTCCTGATATTAGAGGAAAAACTTTCAGCTTTTTGCCATTGAGTATGATGTTAGCTGTGGGCTTGGTGTTTATGGGCTTATTATGCTGAGGTGTGTTGCCTCTATACCCATTTTGTTGAGAGTTGTTTTTTTTTTATCATGAATGGATGTTGAATTTTGTCAAATGATTTTTCTAGCAACTTTTGAAATGATCATATGGTTTTTCTGCTTTTTTTGTTAATGTGGTGTATCATACTGATTGATTTATGGGTATTATACCATCCTTGCATCCCTGGAATAAATCCCACTTGGTCATGGTGAATGATCTTTTTGATGTATTTTTTAATTCAGTTTGCCAATATGTTGTTGAGAATCTTTGCATCTATCTTCATCTGTGATATTGTCCTATAATTTTCTTTTTTTTTTTGTATTGCCTGGTTTTGGTATTAGAGTGATGTTGCCCTCATAGAATGAATTTGGTAGTGTTCTCTCCTCTTCTACTTTTTGGAATACTTTAAGAAGGATGCTCTTCTTTAAAGGTTGGAAAAAATGCAGCTGTGAGGCCATCTGGTACTGGACTTTTGTTTGTTGGTAGTTTTTTGATTACTAATTGGTCTGTTCAGATTTTCTGCTCCTTCCTGGGACTCTCTTAGAATTTTTCTAGGAATTTGTCCATTTCTTCTAGGTTATCCAATTTATTGGCAAATAATATTTCATAAAATTCCCTAGTAAATTTTTGTTTTTCTGTGGTGTCAGTTTTGACTATTCCTTCTTCATTTCTGATTTTGTTTATGTGTTTACTTTCTCTTTTTTTTGCTCAGTCTGTCTAATGGTTTGTCTATTTTGTTTATCTTCTTAAAGAACCAACTTTTGGCTTCATAAATTTTTTTCTATTTTACTCTTCTCTATTTTATTTATTTCTGCTCTTTTATTATGTCTGTCTTTATTTCTCTGGAATAGAAAGGGGAGATGGACCCATCAATTTAGTCTGCTAGATTGTCCAGAAGTAAATGTGAGTTTTAATTTGCAAAAAGTGGCAATTTACATACTTATCAGTGAGTAAAAAAGGCCAATGAACTTGGAGTCTGAAGGCCAAACTTACCTATTGTGCTTAAAAGCAATAAAGAAAAAAAATACGTCTCTGCTACCTTGATACTTTTCCCCAATAAAAGGTTTAAATTTCACCCTATATGTTGCAGTTGGTGTTGGGTAAATAAGAATGCTGCTTTTTGACATGTCCCAGGTGTTCAGAGAGTTAATTTTAGTATAAGATATCCTGATCTTCATTCTTAAAGTATGTAAGTTCCTTAGTATTAACTTGTAGGCATTTTTATTTTGATTTAGAATCAGATCGGAAAGTAGTGCCCAAACAGATACCAGCAGGTTTAGTAACTTAGGACGTGTTTCTTATAAATAAGTATATATTGAAAATATGAATGAACAAATAATTGTTTAATATTTTTTTGAAAGCTGCAATTGACAATGTACTTCAGTAACAACAACTTATTACTATTTCCCATTGTGGGAATGAATATTAACTAAGTAAATTCAGCTTTGTTCTTCAGTAACTCAGTTTGTATTGATCACCTGTGCCTTTGATACATAGGAAAAAAATCAGTTAAATCCAATAAGAGGAGAAGATATTTATAATTATTTTGTGGAACTAACTCATAAGCAGGGCAATTTTGCATCCTTTATGATGGGCTACCCAAAGAGAAATAGTACTTTTTTGTTCAGATTTCATTTACACTCATAAACTCAGTATCAACAAGAGTGATTGATTACTGCATTTAGGATTTTATCTAAGAGACAGTCTCATAAATACACTACAGTTCTGCATTTCCCACAGCCCCCTAATAGCCCACAATTGCGTTAACAAGTTTTGAATTCTTTTAAAATAGTTTCCCATGCTCCAAGTTGTGGCCTTGTGATCCTTCCAAAGTCCAAATATTTGCTGGTCTGCTCACCTTCCTTTCTCCTTGTAGAGTTTTAGTTTTCTTGTACTTGGGCATTTTTTCTTCACATGTCTTCCTTTAGTTTCATTCAATCCACCTGTGTTTCAGAATATACTTTATGTCCACAGGTTAAGATTTCAGGCTACACCACAGCCTTACACAGTTTCTGTCCTCCATGATGAGTCCAACCCCTCCATTAGGGGAAGCTCTGGCATTTTCACATCCTTCATTCTCTCTGTTGTTTTTGGATGTCTCCTGATATAATCACCCTTTTATAGACCTTAGTTACCTTCTCCAAACTGAGTATGAAGAAAAGAGCTGTTTTTCTTTATTGTCTCCTTTCTCTGTCACTAGTGCCAAGAGATCAACCTTCTGCTTACCTAGAGGCATTATTTTCCCTCAATACTCTGAAGTCACTTGAGGGTAGTGGCCATGTGTATTTTGCTAACTTATGGTTAGCACCTAGCAGAGTAAATGCTCACTAAATAGTTATTTAGTGAATGAGTGGTTACTCTGGAACTTATACACATAATTAATGTCATAACTACTTCAAGTGTCCCCTCACATTATCTCTCATTATAGACTGTCATTCACATAATCATCAGTAAGTGGTGCTAACTAGATTAAGGGATAATCAAGGGCATTACCCAAAGAAGAGTGTATCTTGTGTTTGAAGGGAGTAATTTGGACATTGATGCTTTAGTCTGGCTTATATTTAGCATATGCCAGAAAAGCATTCTTGGATTCTTCTTTCATTTAAATTAATAAGCTAGGCAGACATAGTTGCTGTGCTTTACTGTTAGAATATCCATTATATTTTCTTTTTAGTCCCTGTTTCTTAAAAACTTTTATTTTCAGTATTTTTTTTTAAATAGGAAAGCTCATAGGAGATGTTGGTAGGATCAACTCCTTGGGTAAACACTAACAAAACAAGATTTTTTTTTAAAGCTGGAAATCTAATGGGTTGTACATGTCAGTAGACTCACAAGTCTAGATACACAAATACCTTTATTGGTTTGGGAGAAACTAACTCTATTAAACAGGGGTGTTTTGTGGTCATAGTAGGAAAAATTAGTGCCAGTTTTGAAGATATAGCAGTTAGGGAAAGGGTGGGAAAGGTAGAATTATGCCACTCATCACTGAATTCCCTCACTAATCTTACTTTTTTGTCAATTAACCTTGCTTAATTTGTCTTGAGTCTATTCTTTCTCTCATTTTGGGGGGCATCAGAAATAAGAGATCTGTGGATATAAAAATTTGAAAAGACCTCTAGGAATTTGATTTTGACTTTTGGTAATAATTAGACTAATAATTATTGCAGATAGAAATTTAGCAGATATTTCTTTTTTTTAACAATTTTAAAAGGAAGGAGGAAGAAACTGTCCTAAAAAATATAACTGTCAGATTGCATTGTATCAAACTGAAAGTCTTATTTTCTTGTTTATTTAGATCCGAATCAAAGAAAAGCACCCGAACACATGACAGTAGGCAAGTAAGTACATTAGAAGGCATTTATTCCTAAATATGTCTGAAATTAAAATAAAATTCATAATCCACAATTAACTCCCAAATATTTATTGGGTAAATGAATTAGTAAAATGCTGCACTAAAGCAATGTATTAACCTTGTCATCAATTAATATTTAAATCACTTAGTCTTTTTTCTTCCATTTAGTAAATTTCTCTTAAGTTTGTTGGGAACTTGCTCTTGTAGATAGAATGAAATTTAAAAGTTGAATCTAATAAGATACAAGATATATAAATTATTCTCTAAAATGGATTTATAATCAGGGGCACTTTATTTCCTTAGGCATTTTAGGCACAATACTTAAGCCTATGAGTTTCCAGGTGCCAAAAACAAAACACTTTTTACAACATGAAACACCAAAACTGATTGGCTGCAAGGTATAGAAATAGTAAAATTAATATGTACTTTAATTCCTAAAAAAATGCAAAGGCTTAACTTCATTATATTCATGAATATTTTATCATATGTGGGGAAAACATTAGATTTTCTCTTTTGCAAGTATTTCTGATGATGGTTCCTCAGAAATGACAGAATTGCAGAATAAATCAATTACAGCCAAATAATTTCACAAACAAAATTGTAAAAATTCTTTCTAGAATTCTTTTTCTTCTGACATGAATTTTTTGCTTGGCAGCACCCCAATTGTTTGTATGTTTTACAGTGGAAGAGAATTTGTTTGCTCTCAGTACTCTTAAGCATGTGTGTCTTTGTTCTCTTCCACAGTAACTAGTAACTCCTTGAGAAGGCAATGGATATCACCGAGGGTCCTGCTGAGGAATGACAATTCTGCCCTTGGTCACAGCCGAAGAAACAATAAACCAAGTGTGGAGCAATTTGCATGCGTGTCTGTTTTTCTGTCTTCCTCCACCCATGAGCTGCTGTTCTGCCCCTTTAGGCTCCTAAGGAACGGCCCTCTCAATTCAGGCAACTCCATCCCCACCCAGCTCCCTGAGCTCTTCTCTGCAGCTCTGCCACCATCCGCTCAGGTTTACTGCCTGGGCCCACATACTGGGAATCTCCATCAACTGCCCTTAGGATGGGATTTGGGTGGTGGCCCCTGTTCCTCCTCCTGCTCCTTCTCGCTGGACCTAGCTGGGTGCATGCAGGTCTTAGCTAATACAGAGATTTACCTACCCCTCCCCACAGCCCTGACCCAGTTTTCGGAGGGAGGCTGTATTTGCTCTAGGGACTTGCTCTACTTGACCACCTAGGACTCTGCTTCACCTACTGTCTTTCTCTTCCCCTTAGCCAGGTGACCTGCAGGGTGAATCCCAGAAGACAGAAGGACCCAGAGAACTTGGGTTTGGGTCTCAGGAGGAAAGATTAATCTCTTATCAGATTTTGGTACGAGGATTGATAAACTGAGTTAGGAAAAGGTCACCTTATAGTTTCTGAGAGTTTGTATAAAACTGTTCAGTTTTTCAATTAAATATTTTAATTTAAGATTCACTAATGAAGCAGCAGTTCTCTTTGTGGGAGGATTTTGAATTATTGATTGAATTTAACAGGGGACTATTTAGATTTTCCATTTATTCTTGCGAGTAGTTTTTTCAAGTATTGTAATCTTAGAGGAGTTTATCCATTTCATTTAATGGTCAATCTTTTGGCATGAAGTTGGGCTTAATACCTATTTTTATGTCTGTGGGATCTGTAGTTATGTCCTCTCTTTGAATCCAAATCATGGTGGTACTCCCCTGTCTCTGATCAGTCTGGATAAGAGTTTTTCCATTTAACCTACTCATCTCTTCAGACCACATCTTGGCTTTTCATTGTTTTCTGCCTTATTGTTTTGTTCTTTTCCTAGCTTCTTGAGGTAAAAGTTTTAGATCATTGATTGTAAACATTTTCTAACTTGTTTAAAAATATAAAATTGCTCTATATAATTCTTCAGCTTATTTCATGAATTTGACGTTTTGTTTTCATTATTCTTTTTAAAAATTTTGATCTCTGTATTATGGGCTCCTTAAAAGTGAGTTGTTTAATTTCCAAATATTTGTATACTTTCAGTTTAATTTTATTGGTTCCTAGTTAATTCAGCCATGGTCCGAGAATGTACTTACATGATTTTATTTCTTCGGATTTATTGTGTTTTGCTTAGATCCAGCCTGTGGTCTATTTTGTTCAATGTTCCATGTGAACTAAAAACATGTACATTTTGTATTTGTTGTATATGTAAGTGTCAATTAAGTTTGTTAATGTTTTAAAAATCCTCTTACTGGTTTTTCCCCCTGTTCTGTCATTTCCTAAGAGAGGTGTGTTAAAGTTGCCAGTTATTATTGTTGATATGTTGTTTGTTTTAGGCATATTATTTGTATTTTCATGTATTATAAAATTATATCTTAGTGCACTTAGGACTGTTGTTTTCCTGATGAACTGACCCTTTATCATTATATAATTCTCCTTTTTATCTCTAGTAATACTCTAAGTCTTAGTCTTACTTTTTATGATATTAATATAACCATACCAGCTTTTTTAAAGTTTCCCTTTGCATGGGGCTATTTTTTTTAATCATTTTACTTCCAATATATCTTTCCTTATAATTTATGATGCATCTGATGTTAACAGCATACAGCTGTGTCTTGTACTTTTTTAAAATCCAGTTGGGCAATGTTTTTATCTTTTTTTTAATTAAAGTATAGTTACATACAATATTATATTAGTTTCAGGTATACAACACAGTGATTAGACAATTAGTAAGTCCTTACATATCAATAATTACTCTTAATAAATGGATTGAATTCTGTAATCAAGAAGACACAGAGTACCTGAATGGATAAAAAAAAAAAAAAGAACCACTTAAATGCTGCCTTTGAGATTCACTTCAGGCTTACGGACACACATAAATTCAAAATTAAGGGATAGAAAAAGATATTCCATGCAAGTGGAAACCAAAATATATCAGGAATAGCTATACCCATATTAGGCAAAATAGACTTAAAGCCAAAAATGGTAATAAGAGACAAAGGTCATTTTATAATGATAAAGAGATCAACTCATCAAGAAGATATAAAATGTAAATATGTATGCACCAAACACTGGAGCACCTAAATATGTTAAACAAATACTAACAGATATGAAGTAAGAAATAAACAATAATACAATGATAGTAGAGGGGACTTCAGTATCCTACTTTCAGCAACGGCTGGATCATCTAGACAGAAAATCAATAAGAAAATATTGGATTTGAACCATACTTTAGACCAATTTGACCTAATATATATAGAACATTTCATCTAACAGCAGCAGAATACACATTCTTCTCAAGTGTGCATAGAACATTCTCCAGGTAGACCATATGTTTGACCATAACACAAGTCTTATTATAATTTTAAGAAGATTGAAATCATACAAGTATGAAACACAATAGCATGGAATTAGAAATCAGCAAGAGGAAAGCTGGAAAATTTACATAGACATGGAAATTAACACATTCCTGAACAATGGGTCAAAGAAGAAATCAAAAGAGAAATAAAAGAATATTGAAACAAATGAAAATGGAAATACAATATACCTATGTCTGCTGCAAAAGCACTGCTAAAAGGGAAGTTTATAGCAATAAATACATATGTTAACAAAAAGAAAGATCTCAAACAACCTAACTTTATACCTCAAGGAACTAGATAAAAAGAACAAACTGTGCCCCAAGTTAGAAGGAGAAAGGAAAGAACAAAGATCAGAGTAAGAATAAATGAAATAGCAGAAAAACAATAGAAATGATTAACAAAACTGAGAGCTGATTTTTGAAAAGATAAACAAAATTGATGAAACTTTAGCTAGATTAAGAAAAAAGACAATTATAAATGAAAGAAGAATCATTATAATACTATAAAAATACAGAAGACACTATGAAAAACTATATGTGAACAATTGGTTGCCTAACAGAAATAAAGTTCTAGAAATATGGAACTTACCAAATGATTCATGAAGAAATAGAAAATATGAACAGATCAATTATGAATAAGGTAATTGAATCAGTAATTAAAAACCTCCAATGAGAAATCTCAGGACCAACTGGTTTTACTCGTGAATTCTACCAAACATTTAAAAAATACCAATGCCAATCCTTCTTGGACTTTTCCAAATAAACCAAAAACAAAAAAGAAGGAACTCTAACTCTATGAGGCCAATATTGCCCTGATATCAAAGCTAGATAAGGACACTACAAGGAAAGAAAACTACAGGCCAATATTCCTGATAAGCATATGCAGAAATGATTTTTAAAAAATAGCTAATCAAATTCAACAGTACGTTAAATGAATCATACACCATGATTAAGTAAGGGTTTATTTCTGGGATTCAAGGATGGTTCAATACAAATTAATAAATGTGATACACATCATTAATAGAATGAAAGACAAAATTATATGATCATCTTAATAGAGGCAGAAAAAGCATTTGACAAAATATGCCTTCATGTTAAAAACCCTCAACAAATTGAATATTTAAAAGGAACATATAATAAAGCCATATATGACAGACCTACACCTAATACACCCAACAGTGAAATGCTGAAAGACTCTCCTCTGATCAGGAACATGACAAGGGTGCCAAATCTCACTACTTTTATTCAACATAGTAGTGGGAATCCTAGCTAGAGCAATGAGTAAGATAAAGAAATAAAACCATGCATATCAGAAAGGAAGAAGTACTGCCTTTATTTGCAGATGATACAAATTTATACAAGAAAATCCTAAAGTTCACCCATAAAAACTCATAGAACTAATAAAAAATTCAACAAAGTTGCAGGATACAAAATCAACATACAGGGATTAGTTGCATTTTTACAAACTAACTGATATATCTAAAAAAAGAAAGGAAACAGTCCCATTCACAATGCCTTAGAACAATAACATACTTAGGAATAAATTTAACCAAGGAAATGAAAGATCTATACAATGAAAGCTATAAGACTTAGGTGAAAGAAATTGAAGATGACACAGATGAATGGAACGATAGTCCATGTCCATGGACCAGAACAACTATTGTTAAAATGTTCATTCTACCCAAAGCTATCTGTAGATTCAATCCAATCACTGTTGAAATTTTTTTCCAATGGCATTTTTTGCTGAAAGAGAGATACCCTAAAATGTTATAGAACCACAAAAGACAAAATAATCAAAGCTACCTGGGAAAGAACAAAGCTGGAGGCATCACACTTGCTGATTTCAAACTATACTACCATATATAGTGATCAAAACAGTATGGTACTGGCATAAATGTATGCACATAGATCAGTGGAATAGATCAAGGGCCCAGCAATAAACTCTTAAATGTATGATCCACTAGTATTTCACAAGGGAGCCAAGAATACTCAGTGGGGATAATAATAGTCTCCTCAATAAATGGTTTTGGGAGATATGGATAAAGTCACATGCAGAAAGATGAAATTGGACCCCTGTCTTACACCATTTATAAAAACTAACTCAAAATGGATTAAAGACTTAACGTAAGACCCAAAACTGCAAACTTTGTAGGAGAAAACATAGGGAAAAAAGTCTCCTTTACACAGGTCTTGGCAATGACATTTTGGTTTTGACAGCAAAAACACAACAGTCAAAAATAAGAGGGATGTATTAAACTAAAAACTTCTGTACAGCAAGAGAAACAACAAAATGAAAAGGTAATTTAAGGAAATAGAGGAAATACTTGTAAATCATATCTGTTAAAGGGTTAATATCCAAAATATATAAAGAGCTCATATAACTCAATAACAAAAAAATGACATTTAAAAATATTTTTTAAATGTTTAAAAATGGACAGAAGAACTGAATGGACCTTTTTCCAAAGAAGATATACAAATGCTCAACAGGTACATGAAAGGATGCTCAACATTCCAAGTGAAATACAATCAAATTTCCCTCAATTTGGAAATGCAAATCAAAACCACAATGAGATATCACCTCACACCTGTTAAAATGTTCATCGTCAAAAAGACAAGTGTTAGCAAGGATGTGGAGAAAAGGGAACTCTAGTGCACTGTTGGAGGCAATGTAAACTGGTGCAGCACCCATGGAAAACAGTATTGAGGTTCCTCACAATATTAAAAATAAGATTATAATATGATCCAGTAATCCCACTTCTGAGTATAAAAAGGGAATGAATGAAAAGAGGATCTCAAAAAGATATCTACACTTCCATGTTCATGCAGCATCATTCACAATAGGAAAAATGTGGAAACAACCTAAGTTAGTGTCCATCAATGGATTAATGGATAAAGATGTAATTAAATTATATATGATATATTCACCACAATGATATACTATTAAGCCATAAAAAGGAAGGAAATCCTGACATTTGTGATGACGTGTATGGATCTTGAAGGCATTCTGCTAAGTGAAATAAGTCAGACAGATGAAGAAAAATACTGTATGATATCTCTTATATGTGGAACCTAAGAAAGCTGAACTTAACAGAAATAGAGGGTAGAATGGTGCACAAATCTTAGTGTACAGCTCAATGAAACTCAATGAATTTTTGACATGTGTATACACTTATATGTAACCATAACCCCAATCAAGATACCAGACATTCTCATTAATTTTTTCTCTTTTCACCTATTTTGCCCACCCCCCTCCCACACCCCTATAGAAACCACCAGTCTGTTTTGTGTGTTCGTGAGTCAATTTCTGTTTTAATAAGGACACTACAAGGAAAGAAAACTACAGGCCAATATTCCTGATAAGCATATGCAGAAATGATTTTTAAAAAATAGCTAATCAAATTCAACAGTACGTTAAATGAATCATACACCATGATTAAGTAAGGGTTTATTTCTGGGATTCAAGGATGGTTCAATACAAATTAATAAATGTGATACACATCATTAATAGAATGAAAGACAAAATTATATGATCATCTTAATAGAGGCAGAAAAAGCATTTGACAAAATATGCCTTCATGTTAAAAACCCTCAACAAATTGAATATTTAAAAGGAACATATAATAAAGCCATATATGACAGACCTACACCTAATACACCCAACAGTGAAATGCTGAAAGACTCTCCTCTGATCAGGAACATGACAAGGGTGCCAAATCTCACTACTTTTATTCAACATAGTAGTGGGAATCCTAGCTAGAGCAATGAGTAAGATAAAGAAATAAAACCATGCATATCAGAAAGGAAGAAGTACTGCCTTTATTTGCAGATGATACAAATTTATACAAGAAAATCCTAAAGTTCACCCATAAAAACTCATAGAACTAATAAAAAATTCAACAAAGTTGCAGGATACAAAATCAACATACAGGGATTAGTTGCATTTTTACAAACTAACTGATATATCTAAAAAAAGAAAGGAAACAGTCCCATTCACAATGCCTTAGAACAATAACATACTTAGGAATAAATTTAACCAAGGAAATGAAAGATCTATACAATGAAAGCTATAAGACTTAGGTGAAAGAAATTGAAGATGACACAGATGAATGGAACGATAGTCCATGTCCATGGACCAGAACAACTATTGTTAAAATGTTCATTCTACCCAAAGCTATCTGTAGATTCAATCCAATCACTGTTGAAATTTTTTTCCAATGGCATTTTTTGCTGAAAGAGAGATACCCTAAAATGTTATAGAACCACAAAAGACAAAATAATCAAAGCTACCTGGGAAAGAACAAAGCTGGAGGCATCACACTTGCTGATTTCAAACTATACTACCATATATAGTGATCAAAACAGTATGGTACTGGCATAAATGTATGCACATAGATCAGTGGAATAGATCAAGGGCCCAGCAATAAACTCTTAAATGTATGATCCACTAGTATTTCACAAGGGAGCCAAGAATACTCAGTGGGGATAATAATAGTCTCCTCAATAAATGGTTTTGGGAGATATGGATAAAGTCACATGCAGAAAGATGAAATTGGACCCCTGTCTTACACCATTTATAAAAACTAACTCAAAATGGATTAAAGACTTAACGTAAGACCCAAAACTGCAAACTTTGTAGGAGAAAACATAGGGAAAAAAGTCTCCTTTACACAGGTCTTGGCAATGACATTTTGGTTTTGACAGCAAAAACACAAC